CAAACAAACCCTTCGCGCGACGAAGAATGGAGTCCTTATTCGGGTCGTACGGGTGATCCTTGGATGGGATCTCCAGAATGGAGGGCACGGGCGCCGTATGGCTGTCGATGGCGTGTCGGATCAGTTCCGCCACATTCTGGTTGATGAGAATGATGTCGATGTCGTCCCTCTTGAGGAACGCCCGGAAGGTGTCCTCGATCTCAGCGGTTGTCGTATTCTTGTCGACCACCAAGAAGTTGGTTTGCGGCGACTTCTGACGGTTCATCTCTCCGATGCCGCCCAATAGGAAGCCGACGCACGTGTCCTACCGGTGCCCAAGAGGTCAGTCATTAGCAAAAGAGTGGTAAATGTGTGACAATTGTGGCGATAGTGAGAGTTGACGCCCCCTTTTGACATACCGTTCCCCTCACTCAATACGTACCTCATCGCCGATCACTGATATGAGTTTGCCTTTAATAGCCGAGTGTAACGCCATTCCTGCGCGCGTGAGCTACCGGTGCTCTCGTGTACAGCAAACACGTGTTGATTAGAGTGTGCTTTTAATAGCAATTAAATGTAATACAGATTTCAATGTCTTTCAGTTTCTCACTGTTTATTCAATCGATACGTAAGGCTAAGCCATAAATGATGTCTTCGTGTCGTTTAAAGTTTCTGAAAGACTAGCCATTTATGAGGTTAATTGCTTTCAACCAGAAGTTATGACATTGTCACTGATAATGGGATCAATTGATTGGTAATAATTATGACAAAGACGAATGATATGGGATGTACTGACAAAAGTGAGCATTGAAAGGCCAATCACACGTACTCTGTGTTGCGTGCATTACAGTGCATGTGTCACGTGATTGACACAAACCACATCACCACAGCCTCGCGAGTGCCCAACCATTGCTCGACATCTTCGGACATAACCAGCTCCTAGTCGTGGATCAGATACCCACGCCATGCCATACCTGCGCTCGTGGGAGGAGTTCGCGAAGGCAGCGGAACTGCTATACCTGGACGAGCCCTCCAAGTGTCGGTTCACCATGAAGTACAGACACAGTGATGGCAAACTGGTCCTCAAGTGCACGGACAACACCGTGTGTGTGATGTACGCCACGCAACACTCCCAGGACATCAAGAAAGTCGAGAAACTCACCACTCATTTGA